AATTATCGACTCTCAGTGGATGAGAGAACACGTACGTCGAATCGAATGACGGAGCAGGGGATAGCTACTCCTAGGTACGTACTCCTACGATCATTACACGCCATATACTAGTACTACGAGAGAGAGAGAGAATCTCGCTATCTCGTGCCCATGATCGGTCGCCATGTCCGGGAGAAGAGAAGCAGCAAGGCAACAAGGTAAAGCAGGCCCGAGCCGGAGTAGTAGCAGCCCGGGTTTCTAGGAGTCAATCGGCACAAACACACAGCACTGTCCTGTACTACTACTGGCTACTACTCCTACCACCTAGCCGGCTGTAGCTCCTCCTTTTACTGGCCACTAGCTTAGGCCTGTGTCACTTTACCGCTTTGTTTCCCTGCCTGCCTTGCCGTTGAACGGGGTCGGCCCCCGAACAATCGACGTACGTACGCACTCTACCCACACAGTCTCCAGCCTCGGCCGCGCGCGCGCGTCACCGGCGCCGCACCGGCCGTGTCACCTGCTCGACGAGACGACCCACTCGCGCGCCGCGCGTCTTGGCTCGGGGATGAGCTGTGGAGGATCAGAATCTGGCCGCGCGCGCGCGCCGTTGTTTTCGCCGGGTACGGCCGCGCTGTCGGGGCGCGCCGCGCTGCGTCTGCCTGCTGCCGTGTCCCCGGGCGGCACGGCACGCTGCAAGCGGACGCCGTTGGCGCAGAAACGGTTTTGACTGGGCATCGTCGCGTGCCCGCGCGGTGTGTAAACGGTCGTTTTCTTGCCGGCCGCCGCCGTTTCCCATCATCATCCAGACATCCAAAGAAAAAAAATGAAAGTTCCATGTTACGACTTACTCTCTCCATTACATAATATAATATTTTCAAGCATTACTCACGTTTATATATATACTAATTAATCTAGACGTTTTAACATATATATAAATATAAAAAATACGAGAAATTCTTATATTATAAAACGGAGAAAGTACGTGCAAATATAAACTAGCTAGTGCCATGGCATGGTTTCTCTCCCCAATTTGTATAAGAACCGAGGCCATGTTTGGATAATAGGTTTGTGATATGATTTCCCACCCCTCAAAGGGTAAGTTTTAATCTTAGTCATCTATTCTCCCCACTCCATTTCATTCTATCCCTCCATTCATTTTCATTTCCCAATTCCACATCTCCTAACCAATTATCCAAACACACCATCGAAGGATATGGCCCTGATCATGATAGGCGTTACTACTGGTACTAGGAGCTGTGTACGTACAGTACTCTACTATCTGCGGTGGCGGTGGGCCTAGGTCATCGGGAAGTGGGCCACACCCTGACCGACCGAGACCGGGCGACCGGTTCGGATGATGTTTTCGCTTTGTGGCAGCTTGGCAGTGAGGAGGACGACGCCAACGGCCAATCTCTGCGACGTTGGCTGCCAGAGGCAGCAGCAGCCAGCTGCAGCTCGAACGGAAGACGAAGCTAGCAACCGAAGAAGCATCAGCAGGAAGCAGCACTGCGCGCGTGCCAGCGTTTGTCCGAAACATATATGCGTGCCAGGAAGTAGGAGTATGCGGTTTGCTGTTCAGAGTTCAGACAAAGCCAATTGTACTGTGGGCTTGTACCAGCAACGAGTAACACGGGAATTTGAACTGGTTTTCTGGTAAAAAATCCTAAAAAGTTCCTAAGAATTCTCACTTCTCTCACAGGAGCCTAAATTATGTAATAGTGTAATCAACTTCAATCTAATACTCCTATACTTCAATAGTACAACCAAGATTAACTTTAGAAAACCGTGGTGTACTCTGAACTTCTAAAATTTTAGTTACAATGCAGGCTCTAAAAGCAGGTACAATAACCAGCTACAAGCCTACTTTATGGATTTTAATAATGAGATGAAGGAGAGAGAAGGTACCAGCAGGCGACTGTTTAAGCGCCGGCTCTACTCGCGCTCCAATACATATTTGAGCAATACCAGTGATTCAATGCCATGCACTGCCACTTATGTTAGAAGAGAGAGTGCATGGTACTAGAAGAAAAATAATTGTTTAAGGAATAATACTTTTATTACTATAGTATGAATGTAGATTGGAGTAAGCACTTGGCTGTACTACTAGACTTGCTCTAACGCCCTCGGAGAGCGAGAAAGTGTAGAGGTGTGCACCCAAGAAAGAGCGGGACTGCAGCTGTTTAGAAGAGGCCCTAAATTACTCTCTGTTCAGGGCTTTTGGCTTGTTATCATAGTCTCGTCCTTTCCCCTTCTTTCTTTCTCCATCGCATCATGAAGGAAGAATACACTGCCGTGATCAGCCAGGCTCATATACTAGCAACAATGTTCTCTTTTGTGGAACTGCTACTGTTCAGAATGTGACAAGCCTGGTCATGATGATTTCGCTAAAGGGACTTGTGGTAATCATTCAGTAGTGATCAGGGGAAACTGACGACTGAATGTCTGAATAAATGAAAGCGCAGAACATCACGCCATGCATGTCGCCAAAACATTGGCAGATGATCATCAACCAACAGTTTCATGCACACACACAAACACAAATACTACACACAATTGGCAAGCAAGCTTGTTCAAACCAGATTGCAAAAGGGGGTCAAAAGGTGTCACCTCATGCATGAGTCACAGAATTCTGGATGTTCTCGAGGAGTCAAGGCTGCAGTTCAGTCCAGCCGACCATGCGAGTGAGTGACAAGGCCATTTTAGTTTGTAGAGCTCTCACAAGGTCACAAATTGTCAAGTCGAGCACCCAATAAATATGCTGTTCTTGCATATAATAATTAAGTTTATTAGTTTGTTAGCTCTTGAGTTAAGCCAGCTGCTTGGGCAACGACACATGGCCTTGTACTCTTGTGCTTCCTAGCGTTCTCTCCCATTGACTGCATGATTAGATCTATCCCTTGACTGACCATTATTAACCTGTTGCCATCAATTAATCAGCTCGATATAAGCATGTTGCTATCTTTCTCATGTACTTTCGGTTTAGAAAATGTATGTGATGATCGAATCGGTTTTCCTGGAATGCTCTGTGTCTGATTTACGGGGCGCCATATGCATGATAGCACACGCTGCTGGCTGGCCCTACACGGCCAGATCGAAACATGCAGGCATGTACAGAATGTGATTATGCATATATTGCATGGGTTCCACTTCCTTGTACAAATTAATATACGCACGTACGAGTGGAATACAAGGACGTTTCATGTAGAGAAGTAGCTGTATTGTCTTACGTGTGATCACGGGCATGGACGTTAAATTTGTAGTTTTTGGTACAGTATAGATATAACACCAAATTAAAATGTGTTATAGAACAAGCTAGCTAGAAGCAAGAGTTGTATGGTCTGAAGCTAGCTACTAGCAGTAAGAGCAATTAATATATCAAATAATTAAGTTCAATTCCCAGCAAAAAACGCCAGCATCAACAGCCGCGCGCATCCCGTCCTTCCGAATTAACATGCCTTTAATCCAGCGCTACAGCAATTGCGCAGGAAAAAACAAGGTTAGTTTGACTAAATTCGTTATAACATTGATCACCAATTAACGGTTGTGATATCGGCATCCATTTGACTGCTCGGAAATGGCAGAAACTAGAAACTGTTCAATCTGGAAAAATATCGTGGCAACTTACAATGCCTATTAGCAGTTACCGAAAATAGGAGAATATGTGCACCAATTTTCGTATTGCTAAATTGATAATGCTAAAGTAAACACCCCCCAAAAATATATATATATATATACTTCCTCCGTTTCACAGTATAACTTATTCTAGCATTTCTCACATTCGTATTGATGTTAATGAATCTAGATATATATATAACATCAATATGAATGTGGAAAATGTTAGAATGACTTACATTGTGAAACGGATGGAGTAATAGACAGTGTCAAAGAAAAAAAAAAGGCTTGACACTTTCAAAAAACAACTTAACCGGTGAAGGAAAAACCACTCCCACGACTTTTCATTAAGAAGAAAAAGTCTTGACTAAACCCGGCCAAGAGAAGCCATGAAACCTAACGCCCACACACGCGGGACGGGACTCTCTTGCTACCCCTATACGAGGGCCTACTAGATCGATTGTCCCCCTCCTTCCTACAAGAGAACCTAAAATTTAACTGGTACTAAAATTCGTTCCCGTGGAGAGTAGAACCAACCAAGGATCTGTAATGCTACTTGAGCACTGTAACCGATAAGCTATAGGTTCTTTTGCTTGTCACACCGCTAAGCTATAGGTTCTTGTGATGTTATCTTGTCACTGTTTTAAACATTAAATCTGTTATAATATTGATACCTTTCACTATGTGTGCCTTTTCAAAATAAAAAGAAATGATCTCTTTTGATTGACATTTTTCATGAAATTTTCTACTTTCACCTAAAAATGGGTTTTCAACCCTAATATACCACTAACTCACGACAATCAAAACTTCAAAGTTTTGTTTCAAAACCCTTTTACTTTTCCCTGAAAATCCAACCTTTAGAACTTGGATTTAGGAAAGTTTGTCATGTGAGGTAAAGTTGTCGTGGCTCTTGGTACTGTACATTGCTGAACCCAAAATGAATCATTTGAATATTACTCCTAGCTAGGAATGAAATTGTAAGAAGGTGATATGATTCATAGTAAAAGAAAAAAAAGTATGAGCTAAAACCACTTATAAAAACTCGACCAATGCACCAACCGAAGTATTTAACCTGTAAAAAAGGATGATTATCTAGTACTCCACTTACCAACATAAGTACGGAGAAGATAAAAACAAACAAAGAGACAACCCAGTCAGTTAGAACTAGAAACATGACAGTGTAAAACAGTGCAAACCCCACCATTCATCATTCCAAGGAAATGCAAAGCGGCCCCCATCTACAACACATCTAGAACCCCTAATCCATGCTGCCATGCAACCAGCCAATAATTTACAGAGCAAAGACAAGTTTTATCTTCTGAACATGGACAAATAAGGCACAGAAAGAAAGCAGCTTCTTCTAGCCCTAGCTACCATCCACCATCCTCTTTATAAACCCTCATCACCCCCTCACCCCAAGTACTACCATAACTACCCCACCCAACACCATCATCTGATCCATTTCCACAAAGCTTCTGAAAGCCAACACATACCTCACTGCCTTTGCCTTCTTCTCAGCTTCAAGAAGCCTTTTGAGCTTGTGATTTCTACATCATCCATCCATTTCATCACCATGATCCAAGAACTCCTTGGAGGGACAACCATGGACCAGCTCAAGGGCGCCAGCGCTCTGAACCACGCCTCCCTGCCGGTGGTGCTGCAGCCTATCGTGTCCAACCCGTCGCCCACGTCGTCGTCGTCGACGTCGTCGCGCTCGTCGGCGCAGGCGACGCAGCAGAGGTCGTCGTCGGCGACCTCGTCGCCGCACGGGCAGGGGCAGGGTGGCGGCGCGGCGGAGCAGGCGCCGCTGCGGTGCCCGCGGTGCAACTCGTCGAACACCAAGTTCTGCTACTACAACAACTACAACCTCACCCAGCCGCGCCACTTCTGCAAGACGTGCCGCCGGTACTGGACCAAGGGCGGCGCGCTCCGCAACGTCCCCATCGGCGGCGGGTGCCGCAAGCCGCGCCCCATGCCGGCGCCGGTCGCCAAGCCGCCCATGTCTTGCAAGGCCGCGCCGCCGCTCGGCCTCGGCGGCGGGCCAGTGTCCTGGGCCTCCGGGCAGCAGGCCGCCACCGCGCACCTCATGGCGCTGCTCAACAGCGCCAGGGGAGTGCAGGGCCACGGCGGCAGCAATGTCCACCGGCTTCTTGGGCTGGACACCATGGGTCACCTCCAGATCCTGCCAGGCGCTCCCAATGGCGCCGGCGCCGGCACGGCGGCGTCGCTCTGGCCACAGTCCGCGCCGCGGCCGGTCACTCCACCGCCGCCGCACATGGACTCCCAGCTCGGCATGGGGACGCTGGGCCACCACGACGTGCTGTCGAGCCTCGGCCTCAAGCTGCCCTCGTCGGCGTCGTCCTCGCCGGCGGCGAGCTACTACAGCGACCAGCTGCACGCGGTGGTGAGCAACGCGGGGCGCCCCCAGGCGCCGTACGACGTCGCCACCGCGTCCCTCCCTTGCACCACCGCGGTGACCTCACTCCCGTCGGCGCTGTCGAGCGTCTCCGCCGCCGCGCCGACCAGCAACACGGTCGGGATGGACCTGCCACCCGTGTCGCTCGCCGCGCCGGAGATGCAGTACTGGAATGGCCCGGCGGCGATGTCGGTGCCGTGGCCGGACTTGCCCACTCCCAACGGCGCGTTCCCATGAGATAGACGACGGCGACGACGTCGTCTCATGCAAGCATGACATTACTAGCTAGTGTAGCTCTCGATCGGTTTAGCTTTAATCATCATCGATCTTGTGTGGTTTCGGTTAATCAGTGTGAGGACTCTGAGGGGTTTAATCAAGGGTGTTTTAGTTACTGGTGTTTTTGTTAATCAGTGGGGATCGATCAAGTAACCTTTTTTACTGTTTACTTATTATTAGGTTTTTACCTAGGGTTTGGTGGTAACTGGGTATAGTGTTTAAGTCGTGATCAATGCATAGATGGGGTTGTACTATGAGATGTGTACGTGTGTTGTCGGTTTCGTTCAGGTTGATCCATGTATGGATGTAAGGTTTACATTCCCTGCAAGCTCGTGGACGTACTTATCTCAGCTGCAAATTTCACTTTCGACGTACTCTGAAATGCAAAGTACAGGGCTTGATTGTAGTAATGGCAAGAACTTACTGCAAAAGGTGGAACTCTTTTGTTTGCTTTCAAATTTGTCTTGATTCTGATCGTTATAATGCATGCTATGTATGCAGTCCTGGATCTGGGTTTATTTGGAGCACTCATGCTGTCATGCTTCCTTGTTTCTTTGCTCATAGAAATGAGCGAAATATATATTCACTGAAATTGTTGATCTTTTATTTTGCATACTTCGGATCAGAGACAGCATGATAAGGACTACACATATATACTTTCCCTACTAGATATTGTACTGTAGCAGACATTCCCAAGCATATACTATATATATATATATGACCTAAAGAGATGGGCCATGAATTCCAGTCCTAGCTATCTTTATTTATAGGAAGGGATCGGATTATTTCTCTACATACAGAGCCGGATCTTTAGCTAATTAACCCTGCTTACTGAGTAATTTTGGAACTTGAATTTACATTTATCATGCCCGGCCCATTGTACTCCACTATACAACTATTCCATGACCCATACTAGTATTCAAGATCAGATGATTCAAATCTGCTTGATAACTTCTTTTTAGGTCTATTTGCTCAACAAGTGTTGTTTAGACTTGAGTACTAGGGCATGAGACCTGAGCCAATCTAGCTATTGTTGGTATTCTGCCTTCCTACTGGTTGGTAATAACCCACATATATACAATTGGCCTTCATAACACCTATAGATTCACTAGTGTGCTTTCACAGCATTATCACAGCTCAAAAGTAGTTTATACTACATCTAGCTATAGCAAAATGTCTAACTTAGCACTTAGCAGTATAGTGTACCCCTTTTGATTAGTTACTTCTCCACATATATATATCTAGCTCACTTGTGCCTGTCTACCAAATGAGCTAGATAGTGCTGATGCCCAACACATAACTTACGGAGTAAGAGTATAGCACAGCATGCATATATAAAAAGTTCCATCTAAGCTAGTGCTTCATAAAATGTGTTGCATATATATACCTCCATCTGGTGCTAGCAGCGAGCCCTACCGCTACTACTATTTCACATGCCTTCTTCCCAATTCCCATCGTATCGATCACGCTGATCAAAATTAGTAGGTCATCAATGCCTGTCTAAAATGGCTAATCCATAGGAGATTAATTAGGAGTAATATACAGTGTAGTACTGTATTCCATAGCATGTCAGCTAGTACTAATAAGAGTATTTATATTCACCAACAGTAAGCACATCTCAATCAAGATACAGTCATAGAGAGTGATTGGACTACCCATCCATATTGCTAAGCTCTTGCTTGTTCAAACTTGCTTCATTCTGAAACTTGAACTGTTTTCAGAGAAGCAGCTAGCCACAGGCCTCGTTCAGGGTTCAGACTTCAGACCACGCATGCAGAGAGAGAGAGAGAGCAGCCATATGGGAACAAGAACAACACTAGCAGCCATAGCTACACACTGGTGCAGTCAAGCAAGCAGAGAACGAAAAGGAGAGAGAGAGAGAGAGACGACGAAGCGCTAGCTACCGACTGGCCGGCCGGCCGGTCGGGGACGGCAGATACATTCGTCTCGCCACCAGATCAATGTGCATGCTAGTAGCATGCATGCAGCCTTAAGAAGGAAGGAAGGAAAGGCACAGTATAGCTGAAACGGCAGGTGGATTCGATTCTCTCATGCACGATGCCCAACCAATGGCTGGATAACACTGACTGGTAGTATTGGCTATTACTACTACTCCCTCCATCGGGATTTTGAATTTTTGTTTGTAACGTTTGACCACTTATCTTATTTAAATTTTTTTTGAAATTATTATTTATTTTATTTGTGGCTTACTTTATTATCTACAGTATTTTAAGCACAATTTTTCGTTTTTTATATTTGCAAAAAAAATTTGAATAAGACGAGTGATCAAACATTGTAAACAAAAATTGAAAATCTCTTATATTGTGGGACTGAGGGAGTAGCCAGTAGCTTAGCTAGCTGCAGAATGCAGAATACCCGAATGGGTGCAGCCTTATGGGTTGGTGGAGTGAAGGAAGAGAGAGAGAGAGAGAGAGGTGAGCTCTCGTTGTTTTGTCCATGCCTCCGACGAAGCACAATGCTGCAAGCATCGATCCGTCCATCATCCATCGCCAACATCGCTAGCAACTCTACATACCACGGAGATCTAGAGAGAGAGGTGCATGGTGGTGGTGGTGGTGTCGTCCTCGGAACACGCACGTAAATATTCCGTCTCCGGCCGTCTCGATCGCCCCCATCGAGAAGCACGTATAGTACGCATGCATGATGCTTTCTTTTATCATCTCTCTCCTCTTGCTCACTCCCTCTCTGGCTCGAGGAGGAAGAGGGAGAAGGGATGGATGTCTGATTTTCCTATACATTCTCTGTCTCGTAAAAGAATGATTTAAGATTGAATGTGATCATTTAATCTAATACAATAGATATAGATACGAGTCTATTCAGACTCGTTATACTAGGTTATATCAAATCTAATCTTAGCTTGATTGTTTTGGACGGAGGAAGAATATCCGATCCTATTATGCCAGGAAGTTTGCTATTGGTCATGACGCACTACGCTGTGCCGGCCTGCACTGGGGTCATTGTTATTCTCATACTCCCTCCGTTTCATAATGTAAGTCATTCTAGCATTGCCCATATTTATATAGATGTTAATGAATCTAGACACACATATTTATCTAGATTCATTAACATCTATATGAATGTGGGCAATGCTAGAATGACTTACATTATGAAGCGGATGGAGTAGCTACCATGATTACTCGATCTTTGAGGGTAGCTGAGCTTGTTCATTCAAATAGAATTTTACCATCGAATAGTGTTTTCTCAATCGCTAGAGTTTTTTTCGAGTTGGACACTTAGAAATCTCAAGACCTCCTTTTACTTAGTGTTTTGATCAAAAGAGGAGGGTGTTTTACCCCTGCTATAACACTAACCATTAAAAAAATTGAATAAAATAATCGGTCAAACATTGGGAAGAAAAACCGAAAACTGCACTTAAAAATTAAAATGAGACTGATGGAGTATGAAACAATACTAGGAGTAATATGGTGTTGTATATACGGAGTAAGTACATATAAGGCACTGTTTAGATTCTAACTTTTTTCTTCAAACTTTCAACTTTTCCGTATGTCACATTGAACTTTCTTACACACATAAACTTTTAACTTTATATCGTTCAAATTTCTTTAAACTTCCAATTTTAGCGTGGAATTAAACACAGCCTAACTTGGGCGCACACGTACGGTACCCCGTGCTTTTCTCGTGGGGCCTTGCCGCCTTGGCGTGCTGTACCCCAGAACTTCAGTTTTGTCGCTATCTGTTGCAAGTTTTGCGTGACGTGGCGCCCAACTGGCGGCAGCCAAAGATTCGCTATATTGAGGGTTGACCGAGTCAAACAATCTTGGATTGAAACCGTGGAATACTAATGATTATTATTAGCACATTGGGCCTTTGGCTGACAAAATCTGGCCCAATATAAATAAGGCCCATCACCAGCAAACAGCAACTTTGAGGTGGCAGAAGGCCCATCAGCTGTGCAGGGGCAGCGATGCAGCATGCCAGCATATCTACAGACAATTTTCATCTAAAAAAACAGATACTTAGGTTGATGGATTTTCGACACAGCAATTTGTCTTTGAGGACTTGCCATCATATAACATTGTATACTTGATCTTTTGCCATCAGTAAGTTCATGTTACAAAGGCACTTGCGGTTACAGTGGTAATATTGATGGCGACTATCAAAGCATGAGAGGTTACCCAAGTTCGGCAAATCATAGATTTTTCTTGCAAGTTAAACTGTCAGCGCCTTGAATTATCGAAATGTTGCTGGCAGAACATATCGTCAGGCAAAAACGAACGTAACATCACCGTGCTTTGTTTTCTGACCAGTACAGAACTAACAAGAATTGTTCTAAAAAAAGAAAAAAAAACTAACAAGAATTTGAGCCGGATACTTCAGGTTTTTTAGATGACGTGCTATAAACTAGAAACGACGATACCAAGACAGACTGAATAACATACAACAAAAAAGGGGAAAAGAACTTCTTTGAGGTTAACTTCCCCTGGGAATTACCGAGAGGCATTGTGATAGCAAGAGTTCACGGCTACTCCACCTGTACAGTAAAACTGAAACCCAAACCTGACTCTAAATTTCTGACATTAAATAACTTGCACATTTGTAACGCATGTGTTGAAGCTTAAAGGTAACCAGGCCTCAGCAATGGGGGGAGGAGGAAAGCTGTTATTCCAGGGAAGTAACCCCAGTTCAATTACAACAGCATCATGAGTTCATGGGAACATCGCTGGGGTTCCACGGCAAGAAACTAAGCAAAATACAGAACGATTCTTTTCACAAAGGGCTGCTAGTACTTTGACAAGGTACACATCAGGGCACCCTGCCCCTTCAGTTCTCTTGTTGGTCGATGACTTACATCGCATAGACGATCTCGCCGCTGCTATCAACATCAATATCTGAGTCGGAATCGAGGTCATCCATGTCATCGTCTAGGTCGAGTCCATCAGTTAGGATGTGGTTTATTCGAGAGCAAGCAGGTGGTATGGTGGCCTCAGTTAAAATTTGCATGATCTGATCCATGGTTTGCATTGGCTGATCAGGTTCCTCATACTGGCTGCTCATACTATCATCGTCCATCAAATCTGCAGGAAGGTTCTTCAAGAACCAGCCATGGCTCCGTATTTCTGGGATTGTTATCCTCTGCATTTGCCATCATCAAAAGTGTCATGAAAATAATGTACCAAAATTTTGAAATGCATTTACAACGATTAACAATTACATCAACTATAAACACAAATAATCTTATAAAAAACTATTAACACGAATATGGTGAAGTAGAAGAAGAATTGAAAAAACCATTGACAGTGTAGAGCTAACTATAGGAATACTAGGTCTACATCAAAGCCATCCTACTAACAACCGAACACCTTTTTTCTGTCAATACGGTGCCATGTCGCAGACCTATATTAATAAGATTCATTTAAGAGTAGCTGTAGTATGCCAAACAATTCTGGCCCTAGGGCATATAAATACAAAAGGCACTGGGTAGAACCACTAGTACCACAAATCCATTTCCTAACTTATATGATGGGAAAGAACACATGCATACCAACAGCACGAGCACTGAGGTTTTCTACGTTCGTTGGGAGGTATGGTACCCTTACGTATATGATGGAACAGAACACATGCACACCAACAACATAAGCACTGAGGTTTTCAGTGTTAATCACACACACGCGCGCGCACAAGAGCAGGCGCACACACAAACACAACACACACACACACAAACACACACACACACACACATCCCTCTCAGTACCCTCCCAAGGATCAGATAAAGATTCAGCAAAATAATTAAACACATCACAGGATGTGCATCTGATGCCTAATTACTACGGAGGACAACATGCAAGGACTCACCAAAGACGGATCCCCGACAAAAAATCCTCGAAATTAGATGCCTACATTCTGGAGATATGTCCATGTTTTCTGGAATCGAGTACTGAACATTCAAGATACGCTGCACAAAAATGACATGCAAGGACTCACCAAAGACGGATCCCCGACAAAAATCCTCGAAATTAGATGCCTACATTCTGGAGATATGTCCACGTTTTCTGGAATTGAGTACTGAACATTCAAGATACGCTGCACAAAAATGACACTGACATCAGCTTTTCACAGAGAGCCAAGGATGAAAAAAGTGCTCCAATGTAAACAAAGCAAGAGAAATAAGAAAAGAAATTATATAACCTGAATTGTTTTACGGAAGTTCTTAGGCTCTTCTGGATCCTCGAAAGGATATGCACCAACTACCATAACATATAGAGTCACACCACAGGACCATACATCAGCAGTCTGTTTCAGTATAAATAATGTATCAGTATGAGCCAGGATTCCTACACTAAGCGGTTATCAGTAATGGAAATACTTCTGTTTTAAAGAAAAAGAAGGGACATAGGTCCTACGTTACCCTGAGTTCTACGGAACACTCAATTCATCTCACCAGTGGCACTATATTAAAACAGAAATCAGTCAAGACAAGATAGTTTCTGGATGGTTCCCAGCCAGGTTTTGTGACGAAGGGAGTAGAACGGTAACCAGTGTTTTACCAATTTTAGAAACACTGGTATGCACAGCATCTCCACTTTCAGACGTTAAAACAGAGCATACCAACAAACATATTCAGTGGTCATCCCAGGAAAGGACCAGTGTATCAACCACAATGGAAAAAATCAGGTATACTTGAATGACAAGAAAAAGGGGAAACCCATTTCACCACTGTAGACCTCACCACATGATAAACTTGGCCAAGTGATTGGCACATAATCTTGACAAAATGGCTAATTTTTTCTCAGCTTAGTGTGAACTTGTAGAGCATTTTGGTGGTACTTCACTGAAAATACAGAATGCAGGACAGGGGACCAAACAACTCCCAAAATATTGATTGTTTATGTTTGTCAAAATACGATGCAAGACGAAAAGCTATAGTCCTCCCAAAGGTACTGCTCTCGGGGATTAAATCAACAAGCTTAATAAGTCATGTACCTTGCCATCGTATTCTTTCTTCAACAGAACTTCAGGTGCAATATAAGCAGGGGTTCCTACAGTGGATTTTGGTTGTGAATGGAGAACTGAAGACTGCAGAAAAAGATTGTCTTTTATCATTTGCTTATTAGAGTAAACCAGATAATGTCCTAAAGTAATGCCAGTATAGTGTATTGTAAGCAAATGAAATTTACACATATCAAAATCTGGTCTGACTTTGCCTATGGTGATTAGTGAATTGTTCTGAAAACAGCATTATGGATTTACCTATGGTGCTTAGTGAATTGTTCCGAAAACAGACTTCCGTAATGTATTATAGAAACATTAGCTAAGTACCTTAGAATAGCCAAAGTCACATATTTTCAAGCGTGGAGCAGGGCTTCCATCCAGCAGTGTATTCTCCAACTTCAAATCACGGTGGCATACTTGCTTGAAAATGGAGAAAGTAGGATAGTTCAGCTTACCACGATGCCTTAGTACAGAATAACAATCAGATGAAAGAAAATCATTGTAATAAGAAATACCATTGAATGGCAGTAGCTGACTCCCGAGATAAGCTGCTGGAAGAAGTAGCGAGCCTAGAAAGTAGAATCAGACCGATGCAATTAGTGCGATCAATATGTCACTCAAGAAAGATGCATCAAAAAGAGGATGCACCAGGGAAATGGTGCGTACCTCATCTTCACTGAACCGTACATTCTTACAAATTCTCTCGAAAAGCTCACCACCAGAGGCATATTCCATGACAATAGCAAGATGAGTTGGGGTTAAAATAACCTGTAGATACATGATAGAGAACTTATTTTTGCTGGAAAATATTGAATGGTGAACTAGAGAATGAGCGTCATGAAGATCCTGACTTACCTCCTTAAACCTAATAATGTTAGGATGTTTCAACGATCGGTGATTTATAATCTCACGCTGGACATTATCATCTATCTGTACAAGAGAATAAACAAAATAAGTAATAAACAAAACAAATGTGGAAAAATATAATGTAGTCACAATACACCAATTAAGGTTGGGTCTTAATAAGTTGTCTAGCGATTGTTTCCCTAATTAAACAAACAATACCTCTTTTGCCACGTCATGATCAAGAATTTTGATTGAGAACCATACTCAACATTCCAATCTATGCTATGAATATCAAATATGAGTTAACAAGCTAACAGCTAAACACCAAAAGACCTGACCTCCTTACGGGCAGAATAATTTAGGGAGAAATTCTTGGCTTTATACGGGTGTTTTTTTTCCAGGATTTCTAGATGAAATATGCCTAATTTTTATTTATCTATTTAGTAGGGATGGGGGAAGCTGGATTGGTTTAAAGTGATAAGAACACATTATCAATGAATTGAAGTGACAAGAGTTACTATAAAGGATTACAGGTTCATTAATTGATCATAAACAGGCACTGTGGTTTCTTTTACCATCTGCATTAATCACACTGGGATCAACCATATATGTGGTACCTACAAGAACTTAGACCAACATGGATGATAAAATATTCATGGATTAAGAATGGAATGGAAGAATGGATTAATGCAACATGCTTCCCGAGCTCCTAAAGGGTGCGATTTTTTTGAAAAAAAAACTTTCTATATATGAATTTCTTAAAATACTTTTTTTAAATCCATTTTTCAACTTTATGATAGTTAATTCATTTGTTTTTACCCTTGAATAGTGATCACAAAATCATTCAGCTATTCATTCAAAAAGAAAACAGGCGCTGAGGTATCTCATTCGTTTAGCATCAAACCAGTAATCATGAATGGCATTCATAATTATTATAGGCAGCTTTGTCGGGTCAAGAGGACAATACCACAAAAGCAGTAATGATTGGTTTTATTTATTTGTTATTTACTGTTATTTAGACACACAGAAAATGTCAGGTGGGCATTCAAAGAACTTTTTCAGGGGTATATGCTATGAAAAGAAACTTGTTGGGGATTTATCGAAGCTGCCTAACTTTGCAATTTTCAACAACCACGCCACCATGAACGTCACTATATCCACACGTTTCTGCTCTTAAACACCGTATGTATTAAATGCACATAAAACAAAAGAAGTACATATATAAAATGTGAGTTCATGACCAAACCATAGGTCTTCGTTTGTGAATTTGCTTTGTTTCCCATGTTGGTACAATTCAATTTGATGTTACTCAATGGTGAATTAGAGCACATTGCATTTGATTTGGTGTATTGCGGTGGTGGATGACTGATGCTTGGTTAGCCCTAAAGCCCTAATTACGGCATATCTAAACAAAATCTGGAGCAATAGAGCTCAAGCATACTATACATATCAAATGAAAATGATAGCAACAACTACATGCAATAATCACAATGGTTAAAACACTAAAAATAAGCAATTCACTCCTCGCACTGGAACTACTGAAGACATGAATCCCTAATCCACGGAACACCACATCCTACAGCGCCGCATGACTCACCACAAACCCAGCACGGTTCGGATCGTACAGCCCCCCCTGGGCGCAACGCCGATCAAACCAACGAGGCCCCCAAAATCGGCCACGTTTGGGCACACCGGGTCGAATCGATCACTCAGCCAGCGCCGAATCGAAGCTAGAAAGGGAGGAGAAGGCGGGGAGTCAGCGGCCGTACCTTCTCGCCGCGCTCGATGTACTTGACGGCGACGAGCTCCATGGTGCGGCGGTCGCGCATGAGGCGGGCGACGCCGAAGTTGCCGGAGCCGATGTCGCGCACGAGCTCGTACCGGTCGCTGTCGTGCATGATCGGCATGTCCATCCCCGGGCCCACCGTCAGCGCCGCCCGATCCGGCGCCCCCGCCCCGGCCCCCGCCGCTGCCATGGCCGGCGACGGCAAGGGGGTTCTACCTACCTGCGGCTTCCAAGGCCTCGGCCACCCGAGGCGGCGGCTCCCCTCCGCGCGCCCCCCCCCCCCCCCCCACGCCCGAATCGGCGACGAGCTCTCCTCCCCTCCTCCTCCTCCTCCTCCTCCTCCTTCTCTCTCCTCGACGAGTTGGTGTGGTGGTGACACTGGCCGACCAGGAGAGAGAAAGGGGCAATACACTCACTTCTAATATTTCTCTTTTCGGTGCTTTGCTTTGCTATCGCTAGGGCTCTTATAAAGTGGCTTTTATTTATCTATATCTACATGGGCGTCATCGTTTTGGTTTTGTAGTCATAAATGGGTGTAGAGGGGGAGTAGTTCCTGCCTGAGACTGCTGGAGATTAATGATGTGTTATTGTTGTCCACTTGCCTAAAAATGCCCATCTTGATTTTCAAGCAAATGGAAACGGTCTAAATGCATGATTAGAGTGAGAGTTATACAATGGAGTTTATTTATGACATCTATGAGTCAGAAATAATAGTTTTCACTTCACATACATACATACATATATATATACATATACATACATACATATATATATATATGTATATATAGATACATACATATATATAGATACATACATACATACATATATATATACATACATATATATATATATACATACATATATATATATATACATACATATATATATATATACATACATATATATATATATACATACATATATATATATATACATACATACATATATATATATATACATACATACATATATATATATATATATATATATATATATATATATATATATATATATATATATATATATATATATATATATATATATATATATATGGTGAGTTTATTTGCAATCACAGAGGTGCCAAATTGGTCTCTATCATAATTGATCTATTATTTACTTTAAAAAATATCTATGATCAGTTATACTATGGAGTATATTTACATCATAGTATTATAGAGGTACCAAATTTGGCACATGAGGTTTTACCACCTTCGAAATTCGGTGAAAATGAAAACCCACCACCAGATCATATCCACGGTGTGTCGGTTATGGTAACAAAAGCCATACTTTACCTAATAGATAACATATACTATTTGAGCTATCTATCAATCGTTGCTACTGGTGTTCGGTGCACTATTCTTAGGTTGTATTTAAATCACGTTTTCTTATTCTCTTGTATCTTAATATTTTACGATGTTTGAGAAGATTCAAGGGAGGGATACATTGGTTTATGTGAAAAACGTATTTTGCACGATGGATGGCGCAAGCTATCCTTTGGCAATTTGCTCTTCATAATTGTTGATGTCCGATGCATCATCTTTAGTTTGCTCGTTGGTTATTATACCAAAGTTATTTTCAATGATACACAAGCTACCCTTTGGCGCTTTGTCTTTCCATCACTACTAATGTGCATCTCCTTTTAGATTGTTTTTATTTATCATGACACTCTCAATTTGAGAAAGTATAATATTTGGAGGTACCAAATTTGGCACCTAAAGTTTTACCACCTTTGAAATTTGGTGAAAATAAAAACCCACTGCCAGATTATACCCTCAGTGTGTCGATTATGGTACCAAAAGTCATACTTTACGTAATAGATGGCATATGCTATTTTTGGCTATCTGTCCTTCGTTGCTACTGATGTAGGATGCACCATTCTTGAGTTGTTTTTATATCATGTTTTCTTATTCTCTATTATCTTAATGTTTTACGACTCTTGAAAAAAGTCCAGGGATACATCGGTTTTTACGTGAAAGACATATTTTTGCACGGTGGATGGCGCAAGCTATCCTTTGGCTATTTGCTCTTTGTCACTGCTGATGTTCGATGCACCATCTTTAGTTTGTGGGTTGGTTCTGATACCAAAGTTGTATTTTCAATGATACACAAGCTACTTATCACTTTGTCCTTCCATCACAACTTTTGTGCATTATTTTTATATTGTTTTCATTTATCACGATGCCCTCGATTTGAGAAAATGTAATCTTTAAAGGTACCAAATTTTGTACCTAAGGTTTTACCACCTTCGGAATTTGGTTAAAAATGAAAATCCACCATCAGATCATTTCCTCGGTGTGTCGGTTAAGGTACCAAAAGTCATACTTTACGTAATAGATGACACATGTTATTTGAGCTATCTGTCCTTCGTTGCTACTGATGTCCGATGCACCATTCTTAGGTTGTTTGTATATCACCTTTTCTTATTCTATTTTATCTTAATGTTTTATGACTCTTAAAAATGCTCAATCTTTTTATCTGAAAGACATATTTTGCACGATGGATGGTGCAAGCTATCCTTTGGCTATTTGCCCCGTCATTACTGAAGTCCGATGCATCATCTTTAGTTTGGTGTGTTGGTTCTTATACCAAAGTTGTATTTTCAATGTTACACAAGCTATCCTTTGGCGCTTTGTCCTTCCATTATTACCGATGTGCATAATTTTTAGATTGCTTTTATTTTTCACACCACCCTCGATTTGAGACATATTTTGCATGATATATGGAATGAGCTATCCTTTGGGTAAGTGTACTTCATCGCTATTGATGCGTGATAAGTCATTTTTAGTTTGCTCCGTGGTTCTTATATATATCGAAGTCTCATCTTCCATGATATATGGTACGAGCTATGCTTTGGCTCTTTGTACTTCCGTCACTATCCAGTGCTTCATTTTTAGATTGTTTTTATCGCCACACCGCTCTCGTTTTTTTAAAAGATTATAACTGAGGTACAGTCAATGATGAACAGAGAGTGTATTCCTTGTATTTGTGGCAATTCCAAAAACAATTCATGAAAAAAATATTTAATATGTGTAGGTTTCACACACAGAGACAAACACACACACATACACACAAAGACACAGACAGACAAACACAAATGCACTCACACACACATAATTATGCTTAATACTGCACTTTGGGCCTTTTTTTCCCTCGACAAATAAACTCCTCCTCATGGCTCATAATATATGTAGTCCAGTAGCCAACTGCCTCAAATCCTCTAAACCTAACCCACCAAACATCATATCTCTACAATTGTGGAGTGAATGCACAACTAATAAATCATGCGTCCGTTACTGGGTATATTGTTTCGTCAGTACATATCCTCTAAGTTAATCTAATGCCATTATCACAGATAACTATCATCATGGACATTCTTACGTTTGCAGATAAGTTACTGGAATTCTCCTACTGAACCATGAAGAAGGAACATAATTTAGCTGTCCCTAAGTCACAAAAGTTTCCGGATCAAGGAGCTGGAACAAGAAACATGAAACACGGGATGCCATCTTCCAAAAACATGGAACGATAGGGGTATACCTCTTCTAAAACAATGGAATGATAGATGAAACACGTCCCTAGTTTGATTCTATCATGCTCCTTTTTTTTGGATACACAGCTGAAAACGCGATGGTAGATGGCTCAATGCAACGATGGGACCAGCATGACGGCTTCAGCGCTACGCTGCCACACATAGTGATGGAGGGAGAAAAGAAGTTGCGACACATGGTGCCCCTCTATTTCTCCATCCTTCCCATCCTGGCGATGGCGACGATGCGGTGCGATCTCGTATATTCACCTCGGCGCGCGGCGACTAGCAACGAAGGAGCGGTTAATATTGTTTGGAAATTTTAGATTGCCCTTTCCATCTTTTGCTCCATCATAGCTTGTTCCTCCCTCTAACTATCCTGCTTGTTCCTCCATCGTTCCCTCATACTAGAACGACGACCCATCCTTATTCAGGACAAACTTTCACATAGTTCCCATTCCTCGATTCGGAACGAAGTTCCCTATTCCTGTGACTTGGAACTGCCCATGAGCTTACGCAATTGGCGAAATGTTTAAGACACTTTGTTGTTTGCCAAGAGAAATTCCCATTTTGTGTAGATCAAATAATTGCTCAAGAATGTACTCCTTATTCTGAGTGATAAATATAATTCCCTCTTCATCTAAAAAGAATTGTTGGTTTATTTACAGCCCCATGATTCTTAAAAATATCTACTTGTAACAAGTACTTGTATTGATTTTTTTTAATGAACAGGCACCTAGAGTATGCCAATTTCATTGAATATATTAGGAGTAAAAGTTGTTGTATAAGTATGAAAAGAACTGTACAAGAAAAAATAAAGCTAAATGATGAGCTCTAAGAGTCGTTTTGCTCTTGCTAGGGCTCAAGTTTTGGCCTCCTCGATTTTCGTCACTAGGACTATCGTTGAAAGTTCCTTTATGTTAGAACACTCCGGAAACACTAGTTAGCGCGCGCGCCTCCTGTACGATTTTATTTTTTGTTTTTTTACATTTTTTCCTTTTTCTCTCTCTTTTTTCTGATTTTTTTAATCTTTAGCATGTTTTGAGTTTGAAAATTTTTAAATTTTGAGTTGAAAATTTTCAAATCTGAACTTGAAAGTTTTCAAATCTCGACTTGAAAGTTTTCAAATCTCGACTTAAAATTTTTCGAATCTAGATTTGAAAGTTTTCGAATCTCGAGTTGAAAGTTTTCAAATCTCAAATTGGAAGTTTTCAAAATTTTCAAATCTGAAGTTTTTAAATTTTGAAATGAAAATTTTCAAATCTGAACTTCTTTTTAAATCTCGATTTGAAAGTTTACAAATCTAGATTTGAAAGTTTTCAAATCTCGATTTGAAAGTTTACAAATCTAGATTTGAAAGTTTTCAAATCTCAAATTGAAAGTTTTCAAAATTTTCAAATCTGGATTTGAAAGTTTTCGAATCTCGATTCTCGAGTTGAAAGTTTTCGAATCTGAGTTGAAAGTTTTCAAATCTCAAGTTGAAAGTTTTCAAATCTGAGTTGAAAGTTTTAAAAATTTGACTTTAAAATTTAAAACTTAAATCGAAGTTTTCAAATCTAACTTAAAAAATTTTCAATCTGTTAGTAAAAAAAATATCCCAAAAAAATCTCCAGAATTTTTCCTAATTACTATCATTAGTGCTAAGTATAGTAACTAATATAGATAATTAACACTAAAGAGAAGGAGGGAGTGCTCGCCAGCTACTTTCCTGGCACGCGCGCCTTAGCAACCCCCAGAACACTCCGGTTTCTTTCCTTCCAAATTTTCCATGCCGTTAGTAGGATGAGGATGCGTCTAATCGCTTGCTAGTGGCTAATGCCATCCATCATTCATGGACCGTCGTAGTTGTACACTATTTTATCGATTTGATTTGCTCGAGCAGATAAAGGTAAGATTTTGATCTTGCTTGGCATGATTGTGGGACGGAGTGTGCTGATTCATTCTGATCCTCTCCAATGATTCTTTCAAGAAAGGAGTCAGGGGGGAGGCAAAGATGTATCCCGTGGATGTGGGCTGAATCCTCTCAGCCCAATTGTACGTCCAGCCCAGACATCATTATGGATCAGCCCATCCTACATAATTGGTTTTGCCACCATAATGCTACATTGCTACTCACCAACAGACCATAGAAAAATCCAAATAGGAAACTATCACTAACTTCATTTCCCAAACTCGCCAACTCATCCAATCCCCAATCAAGACCTTTAGAAATGAGCCATTTCTCCGTCTCATAAAAACAAAAAAAGAAGCAAAGAGAAATTTCAGTATCTCACAGAAAAAGAAAGGATTCATTTCAGTGAAACGTGGCAAAATGGAACATGTTAAGCAGAGACACCAAACCGTAGTCGGATTCTTTATGCGTTTACTCCGTACATTTCAGCAACAGCTTATATTGTGCAGGGAGAAAATCACGCAGGGATGTGAGCTCAAACACAGCTACATCCTCCATGATTCTTCAGAGCAGAATCAGAGTCAGCGACACCAGAACACCAAAAAAACAACGAGAAAATAAGTCATTCTTGCTCCCGATCGATCGATCATTAGCTGTCTTTGCAGAACAGCAAAGAAAGAAAAAGAACCCAGAATATTCAGCCATCGGTTCACCGAACATGGAAAGGGCACACGCGTCCATCCCAGGATCGAGAAGCCGTTTAATTAGGGCAAATGGCAATCAAAACCGGCGTTTAAATAAGCTTATCGCGAGCCTGAAAGCAGCTCACCGCGCACTCATCTTACAGCGAAAAGGACGCAGAAGATGCTGCAAGCAACAGCAAGAATATTCGCAGGCTGTGAGCACAGTGAGCCAGGCAGGATCAGGAAAAAAAAATCAGATAAACAGGAGGAAATTTCAGTACATGTGCCAAGTTGGACGGACAAAAATAAAAGCAGCAGAGAAAAACTAATTCTGCTGCATATAATTACGTGGAGATAATCTCACGCCAAGCAGCAGGCCAACTCATATACTCCACACATGCTCAAAGCCAAAGGGGGGCAACTTGCCAATTAGCCCTTCGGATTAGTATTAAACTAATCAACGGATAAGCACGGATGGTCAGAGGTGTAAGAGTAATTAATAGTTGTTGACTCGCAAGGATAGCAATGCTAGCTAGGGCATGCATATGAGAACGACGTGCAACTTATCGTGGAATCTATGCAGGGTATCCAGCTCATGGATGGTCTAGAATTTGCAGTGGGGGTTTTATTTTCCTTGCAGGTTTGATCAAGCTTGTCAGGGTGGTGTACGCAATTCTGCATAAGATTTTGTATAAAAAAAATATTGAGATTGCAATTCAAAGGAGAAAATGGAGGTATTAAAAACGTAGCTTTCTGTCAGAACCGCTGATCACATAGACCAGCAGTGATGTTCTTGGTTCTTGATTCACCCTGTTCAAGGAACTTTGGATTGTTCACAGTTGTATTTGGTGTTACTGGTGAATTTTCAGCAACAGAGGACTAAACATCAGAAAGCTAGCAAGTTACAACTTTTCAGATAGCCAGATTACAGTTTGGCAATCCGTTGTGAAATATCTGCTTAATGGCAACCACATGCATTGCAATGACCTAACTGCAACAGCTTGAGCTTCACCTGAACGCCGAGAGGAAAAAAGCAACATTTTTATTCACCCAAGCATAGCAAGTTCATCACACTGTGATCACTGATCATCAGTTCATCACAAGAAAAAAACGACAATATGCGAATCTTGTATATATTTATGTATAATATGTATGTAAATCTCAGGGCGAAAATTTGGGGTCTGCCCGACACTTTGCAAGCCTCATGGGTGGTAGCAGCTCTTCATCTACACATCCACAACAACCCAGCTCATGATCAGTTCATCACTTGAGCTCTCAACAGCTCAATCTTCCCTGTATACATGGCCAACACTACCATCCTCCTCAGAGTTTCTGAATCCATTATTGGCAATTTTGCATCGATGCGCAAGCCGAAAATCCATCAATCTACCTCTCTGTCTAGCAAGATTCCACGAGCACGATCTTTCGATCATTTTCGGACATAGCCTTCCGACTTGTCATCATCCTCGCAGCAGCTGTCGCCGGCGGTGGCCGCCGAGACGGCCACCCCTGAGCCGGAGAGCTGAAGGGGACCTTGAGGTGATCCGGATTGAGAGCAGCTTACTTCCTGAGAAGCCCAGAGATCACCAACAAGTACAATCGAATGGCTCGCTGAAGCTGTGCCTGGTGATTTCCGGTTGTGCAGCCGATACTTCTGAAAATATTTGCATGACATGATCAAAATCAGTATCAACAAGCAAGATATGGAATAATGAAATGAATGAATCAGGAAGCGAGAACTAATTTGTTTCAAGAAATGGTTGCTGAAATAAAATGAGGGGTGTTTGCTCACCTGGAGATGGCTTTTCACTTCGTCGTTGGTGAGCCCATCAACCTTCATCACCTCCCTGATTTGCTTTGGAGTAGCAACTGCAATCATGGTGGAACAACAAGATATGAGGATTTCCGGTGATCTTTGCAAATTATGGAAGGTGAAAATGATGGTCGACCATGTAATATACCTTGGGGGCCACCGAGCTGCTGCAAGGCGGCGACGAACTGCCGGTGAAGCTCCGGCGACCAGCACCGCCTCGACTTCCTCGCCTGCTGCTGCTGCTGCTGCGCCTGAGCCTGCAAGCTAAGCGCCGCCGGGACGGGTGACGGCACGGCGGTGGCAAAGCTTGACGCGACAACGTGCCGGTGGTCATCGCCGGCGGCGGTGGCAGCCGCCGCCGCCGCCGGAGGAGGCGACCTGTGGGAAGCCGGAGGCAGCAACGGCATAGCGGGTCGTAGAACCACCCTTTCCTCCCTCCTAAAGTACGGCGGCGGCGCGACGGCCCTCGACGACGACTCCTCCGCGCCGCCGAGCAACCTCGACGCCGGCGAGGTGCTCCCGCTCCGTCGGTCATTCTGAAATCGAAAACAGCGACCCGTTTCAATAAAAATCAAAACTTCCATAAAAAAAACAGTGTAAATCAAACAGGGATAGGAATCAAAAACAGAATATATTAAATATGGAAATGAATGATTCATCCACCTCGGAATCGGCGTCGCTGCCGCGGCTGTCCACCCAGAGCTGCGCGGTGCTCATCCATTTCGTCTTGTCGCCGTCCTCCGCCTTCGCCTCCGCGTCGTCGCCGTCCTTCCTCCTCTTCCCGGCCTCCTCCTTCATCAGCTCGATCACTGCAAACCGACAGCACCACCAAGCGTCAGAAAAAAAAAGCAGCGACGGAATCCGAGAGGAAAACGGGGAGCAATTTTAAGCAGAAGCTCGCTGTTCTCACCGTCGGCGAGGAGGCGGGCGCAGAGCGGGAGCTCGCGCCTGAACATCTCGATCTTGCGGCGCTCCTCCTCGAGGCTCCTGATGCACGCCTCCACCCCCGTCGCCTCCTTGGCCGCCGCCGCCGCCATCCTCACGGCGCTCCTCGCCGCGAACATCTTCAGGTCCAGGCTCAAATCCAGCCCCATCCCGATCTCCCCCACGTCCAGCCCCATGTACAACAACAACAACAAACAAAACTCTCTCTCCCTCTCTCTCGAATCTTTGCAACAAGAACAAGAACAAGAACAAGAACTGGAGGAAGGGTCGCGGATTGGAGCGGAGGAGGAGGAGAAAGGCGGTGGTGGTGGTGGGTGAGGGGGATCTGGAAGCTGCGCGGCGATATATAGACGGGGAGGTGGGAATCTGCGAGCTGGACCGCAGGATTTGTTCGTCTCTCTCTCTCTCTCGCGCGCGCGGAGGCGAAGCGAGACCGCGCGGCGCGTGGGGTGGGTGGGCGCGATGCGTTGCCGATTCCTCACGTCGCGTCCGTCTCGTCCGTCCACCCGCGAGAAACTCGCGGACCTTGGGAGCGGGCTAGCGATGTCGATCTACCGCTTCTCACGCCCATGCAGAACACCCCCTAACCTTTCCCAATTTCACATTCCAGCCCATATCACGCATATTCCCTCCATAAATAAAACTCAACTTACAGAGGTCGGGTTTAGTTCCAAAATAATTCTTCAAACTTCCAACTTTTTCATCACATCAAAACTTTTCTACACACATAAACTTCCAAACTTTTCATCACATCGTTCCAATTTCAACCAAACTACTAATTTTGGTGTGAACTAAACACAGCTAGAGTTTGAATTTTGTCAAAAAAAATATCTTTTACCATCCTACCTACTCTCAACACGTAAAACAAGAAGTTTTATCCCTTCAATATCATTTACCTACATACCATTCTTAGTACTGTTTTTAATGATTAATGGTATTTTAGTCATTCTCACTCTCCATTAAATCCACCTTAAGATGCTAGGAATGATTTTTTTAGTGGACGGATGGAGTATATTATTTTTGTGATAAGGACCCTGGAGGTTGAATAGTTTTATTTACCATGCGGTCCTTTGCGTGTCGTAGCTTCGTTTTGTAGTAGTACGAGTATTTGGTGGCTTGCGTTTTTAGATAATGGCAAGCTTGCGTTACGTGTGTGTTGGAATAATCCTCCGTGGATTCTTCCCCCTGCGGCTTCGATTCCCTGGTCTCGCGGCGAAGCGTAGGCGCAGCCTGCCCATCGGTTGGGGCGATTGGTTTTTGAGAGGAGGGGATTTTTGACGGCTGCATGCAACGCTCCAAAGCCGGATGGTGCAGTAGATTTTGGGTTTTTGTGGGGGGTGCGTGTCTGCATGCAATGGTCCAAAGACCTGTCAGTGTTCAGCTTGTCCGGCACGGTGGAAAATGATTCCGTGTATTCCCGAAGGATCCGAATCGGCTGTACAAAATATGTTTTGCTTATCGCTCATTCACAGGAGGCTTTACATGACAAATCACCACGTACGCGTGCATATCCTTACCACAAGCTTCTATGAATCTCACAAAATTTCAACCATGACACGCTCGTACTTGCGTGAACGTGGACATTAGGATTTTAGTACCTTGGTAAATGTATTTATGAAATAAAATAAAGATGAGAGTAATAGATAAGTGCTGCTCCTTCCGTTTTATAATGTAAAACTTTCTAATATGTGTCTAAATTTATTAACATTTATATGAATATAAGCAATACTGCACAGTCTTACATTATTAAACGGAGGAAATAATAAATGGTGCCATCATAATCGCAACTTTGTAAGCGAACGGACCGTAGCTTATCTAGTTAGGTTTTCTGTGATAAAACTTGTTCACTCAAGTTCAAGTCATAGATTTGATACTGCTGCTCGTTTTTACGGTTAATTATTTTTTCAGTGTTAGGTGACATATTCGTTGACAACGAGATACTTGTGGTGACCTTATCAATATCAAAATATGCAATTTCAATCTATTGATATCTACGGTGACTTCGTCAATCTTAAAATATGCCAGCCCAGTTTCTTAATGCCTATCATGACTTTAGTATCAAAATATATCGGTTCATTCTTACAAATGTGATTAAAGAATTAAGGGGTGTGTATTAGTATATGTTAAACCATGTTAAAAAAACAAATTTTAGAGGAAGATGTGATTTGGTTGATACTGCAACACCCATTATGAATATTTCCTTATTATGCTCCATCCAAGAGATATTTCCTTGATTGACCTTCATATTATGACGCTTGACGCATTAATTGTTAGGATATCATAATTGTCTGAGGGATGGAGAGTGCGTATTGCTGTTCATTCGTACTTATCTCTACCCCCATCCACCTAAGAAGAGCGTCTTTTTAATATGAACCTAGACAGTGAACTAAAAGAATACTCTCTATCAAAAGAAAAATTCAATCCTAGTCTCCTAGATATGCACATGAACATGTGCTTGTTCAGATTAATCTTTAAAATTGGACTTTTTTTGAGCAGATGTAGTATCGCACCAAATAGTGTTTTAGGATCATAGGAGTACAATCAATATATGATATTCTTTTTAGAAACAAGGTATAAACACAGTCACTAGCAACATACGCATACTTATAGTATATCCAGAATTATAGTACTATATGATGTTTTATCATATACTAGATAGCTATATTTTGAAACGAAGGTCATATGATGTGAGTAAGAATCACTGAATCAGTATGGTGAGCATACAAGGCTTCTTGTCACGCCCCGAACTAGTCCTGACCGGAACTAGCCCGTGACGCTCCAAATTAACCTGTTAATCGATACCAGTTCCAGGAAACAGTGCTGGTATCACAGGAAGACAGAATACCACAGCAACAGAGGTCTCTTTATTATAGAGTAGGAGTACAGTCATGTTGGGCTGCGGACAGATCCCGAGTTCACAACTGCATTACAAAAGGGAAGCGGAAGCCAAGACTTGAACCAAACATCACAGGCGCGACTTGGGAACTAGGCCGAAACCCTAAAACTCATCGTAGCCGGCTTGCTCCTGGAAGAACTCCTCGTCAGCGGGATCCGCTTCATCTTCTTCAGCAACTGGGGAGGGGGATTATTTATATAGAGCAAGGGTGAGTACGGGAGTACTCAGCAAGCCATGGGAAATAAGTGTTTAATGCAGGCTTCAAGGAAAGTCTGTTGTTTTTGCAATTGATTTTATTTGAACTCTTTTCTGAAATCAACTAAGTGAGTGCTTCTCAAACGACACGGATGAGACAGTGCGTCTCGTCCGGTCGGAGTATGTGCAATGTATCAGTCTTTTGAATTGATTCAAGGTTGGCACCCGGCCAACAACTTTCAAACGGCCACCCGGGCCTAGCTGATCCCATCAGCTGCAGATTTTCCAAAACATCGATCCCCTTTCCACAACAGCAATTTCACAAGGCAGTAGTCAAACAAAACTACGCTAGGAATCACCTCACATCCGCCCATGACCGTGGGCACGGCTGTTCGAACAGTTCGTTAACCTTTGCAGAGGGGGTACACTTTACCCACACGACATTACTAACCCGGATCACCCAGCCCGTGGGGATCAGCCACGTCGGGAGACCTCCAAGCTTTCATGACAAGGCATTTCGAAAGCCGACACAGGTTTACCATATGCCGACGAGAGGGGTCCCAGACCAACAACAGGTTAGGTCCCAGACCATACTGTGCCAGGAAGCCCGGGGGTCCTCCCCGACACCACCCCGGCGAATCCACATGTCTCTCGGCATCAAGGCTCCCCTGATAAGCTAGTTACTCAGCCAGGGGTGTCCCATTCCACCCATGTGGTCGTACTTGTCTTATGTTCGGATGAAATTCCAAGGAAACGGTCCTTAAGTGCAAGAACGGGAAACCGTACACCCGGTACGTTCCCCGGTCCGCGGTTTTGGAAATTCATTTAGTTCACAAGCACCGACCCAGGTGTCGGGTTTTCCAAGTCTTTTGTAAAACCCAAGTTTTACCCAAGAAGTTACTCAAATTTTAAGTTTGAAGGCGACCGTCGATACTCGTGCAGAGTGCATGATTTCCGAGGCGCGACTAGGTGGTTACAAGGAAACATGGTATAACAATTAACAGAGGAAGGATCAAATGCAACAAATAGGTAGGTCCGCCAATCTGCCTTGCAGACGGGACAAGCGGATTAAGTGTGATCCTATCAATGCATAATATTTTTCAAGCAACATAATTAAGTTCAAATATAGGCTCAAGATGTTCAAAGGTGGCTTGCCTCGCTCGAGATCTTGAGCTTGATCCTCGAAATCCTCGCACTGCGGGTCTTCGGGCTCCGAAACTACACGCAAAACGGGACAACTCAACAAACGGCGAAAATAAAGCCCTATTAATGACCTTTAAGCGTGCCATTAGATAGATCTCGAGATTTGAGGAATTTTGGAAGTTGAACGGAGTCAAACGGATTTACGGTTGGGAAGATATTGAATTTCTAAGATTATTGGATTTTTGGTCTAAAGGAAAAAAGGATTTATTTAAATCCCTTTTGAAAAAGAAAAATAAAAGAAAAGAAGGAGGGAGGGAAATCAGACTTCCCTCGGGCGGCTAGGGCGCGGCCCGAGAGAAAGGGGCGGCTCGGCCCAAGAAGGCGGCCCAAAGCGCGCGCGCGGGCGGAGAGGAGAGAGGGAGCCGGTGGGCCGGGTCCACCTTGCGTGGTCCCGGGTGGGACCCGCTTGTCGGCGGCACGGTTCACCGTGCGGAGGGAGCACGCGACGCGGCGCTAGGGTTTGGGCGGGGCGCGGCGCACGCGCGCGGCTCGCGGGGGATGCGGGTGCGGCGGGCCCACACGCAGCCTCACAGCTCGCGGTGGACCGCGCGCACGGGGAGGGTGGAACGGAGGGAGCGGCTGACCGGGTCAGCCGACTCGGTTGTGCCGAGGTGGCACCGACGTGGCGCCTACGTGGCTGCCTCGCGGGCCGGCTGGAGGAAGACGAAGACGCCGGCCGCGAATGGACGGTGGGCGGCGGCGGCGAGCGGCGGAGCGAATCACGGCGATACAGGCGAAAGTGAGCACGCCGGGTGGTTGCACGGGACGAGGGGAGACGAGCCAACGGCTCGGATTCGCCGGAGGGAGCTCGACGGCGGCGGATTGCGGCGGCGGCCACCGGCGGAGAGAAAAGGGGAAAACGGCGACGAGGTCACGAGGGGCCGATTCCCGGCGGCGAGAGCATCTACGCGGCTACGGGAATCCGTCCCTTGCGCCGGATTAGGAGGAAACGCATCGAGGGAGGCCGGCGACGAGAGGCGTTTCCGAGCTCGGGCGGCGAGCACACGGCGAGCGACGGCAAAGGTCGGGGCGGCGTCAGCTAGCTACGGGGAGGCTACTCGTGCTACTACCCGAGTCTAAGGGGAGGAGATGGAACGAGGAGGGAGAACGGAGGGATGCACTACCGTGCGGGCGGGCGCA